CCCCATATAACACCTGTACTTAAGAAGCCTCACTGCTATTGGTAAAGTATTGACTTGATTTCTCTGCTCACAACCCAGGGCACTGCATGGTTCTGCCCTGCTCAACCTCTGAGCTCCTGCGAGGTGCTCCCTGACAGGCCTCTCCATCCTCCATGAGTGTGAGCTTACACACCCATCCATCTCCAGGAAGTCATGTGCACCATCACTGACAACTCCCTCCGCATCTCATACACACTGGGCTGCTCCCCTACTAAAACCTTCCCAAGCCACACGTCATACATTTCTTTTCTGTGCCATGCCCCCAGCTGTTCCGTGCTGTTTTGATGTGTCTGTTTGCATAGCACTGTCAGAGACTATCTGCATGAAACAGTGTGTTGTCCACATGAATGGCTTTGAAAATGTTTCTGTAAAGAACCTACCTCAGTTATCAGCCAGGAGAAGGAACTTGAAGCCCCAAAGGAGGACACTTAATGTCTGTCCATCAACAAAGAAAAAAATCCCATGAAAACGTAACTGTGATCTCTGTCGATATAAAGGATGTGAGAGTCTTTCCTAAAAACCTAAGAGTAGGCAATAGTTACATAATAATGAAGTCCTACCACCATACAAAAGTCTTAAAAACTCTTCTGCAGAAGTAAATTGTTGCCTTGCTGAGGGAAAAAAAGTCTTAAAAGTACAATTATGCTTTAAAAAAGAGGGGATCCCAGGCAGAACTCAAATAAGTATAACTTTTAGCTTATTCTTGACCACCAAATATTAGTCTAGCCATAGGCCAGTCAGAATTGAGCATATTGGAGAAGGGTATTTGGCCCACTCTTACTCTCTGGGGGGCTGGATGGAGTCTGCTCCCCTTTGCACTGCATACCACACAGGCTTGATCCAATGCTCGTAAATAAAGGATAATTTCAGGAGCATCCTTTCAATTAATCAGTTAAGAAAACCCAAGACCCACAGCTGGATAATCGAGACAATACAGATAGACCCAAATAAGGGAAGAGAATATTTCCATTACTAGAACTTAAAAAATGCATTCCTAACCATAAAAATGTGATGACCATTTCCTTTTCTCAGTCAATTTTTTTTGAAAAGATGAATCTAGTGCTTCACACTAGAGAATCAGTTTAGCTTCTGATTGCTTTTGCCAGTCTTTTGCCACCAACTTTTATTGTACTTTGCTGTAGACACTGTAAAGGCAGGCTTTGAGAATATGTGGTATTTGCAATTCAAAGTCTGGCTTAGGCCAAGCTAATGTATTTTTTTTCCCTTAATCCTCCAATGAAGATTAGTCCCAATTTTGCATGCACCCTCTTATGTTATCCAAGTATCTTTGCCAATCATTCACATGCTATCTTTGGCCAGTGTTCCCCCTTGAAAAATAACTTTAAAAATGCTTTCTTGGTTCCTTTAATATCTAAAGAAAAATGGACACAACCAAGCTTGGCTTTATCAGCACCAGCATATTTGGATGACTTAGTTTCTTTTTGATCTCCCTTCTGTTGCCCTGTGAAACTGGAGATTCCCAATTGTTCCAGCACATTGATTTACTTTGGATCATTTCGTTAAGTAATCAAAATATTATTTCACGGGCATTATTTGATGTTAGTTCTGAAATGAAACTATTATATTGATAGTTCCCCCTTTGGAACAAGAACTCATGTTTTTCCTTTTAAAAAAAAAAATCATGTTTATTTAGTCCACACGATTGGTCCATGCTCTCTCTTAGTTCTTTGTGCTTCTCTAATGAAGCCATGCAGCTCAGTTGTGAATTTTTCTAAGTAAAAATCAGTAAAATAAACATTCTAAACATCTTCCTCCCCCTTCTCAATATTCAAGCCCTGCAGTCCAGAGTCGTCTCCACCCAGTGCTCTGCCGCTGCGTTCTTACATCCTTGTGCTTTCTGCTCCAATAACTGTAGGATTCCATTTCAATCCTATCAGTCTTTTTACAGCTGAAATAGGACCCCTGAGGTCATTTCTAAACTGTTCCTTCTGCCTAATATGTGAAAATGTCCTCATCATACCCTCCCCAATTATTGTTAAACTCACTCTTTAAAATACATACACAAGAAAGTAACAGAACCATGGAAATGGGAATTGTAAGAACTTGCTCTTTCCTTTTTATCTTTCCCAGGAATGGCATTTTAAAACATGAGCGTATGTCAGACATTGAACAGTCTCCACACAGGAATGAATGTTTTGATTAAAAGTTATTTAATATCTCTAGTTCCTTGGAATTCTGCCTAAAGCTGGAGATATTCTTAGCTGCAGGTTTTGTGCCTTCTGTGACTAGATAGAAAAAAATGGCTCAAATCTTGAGGGGATAAATGGCATTCTCAAACAGGTACTTAATTGTGTAGGTGTTTATATCAGAGAGGACACTGATAAGTAGTGAGGGAAGAATGTACAAAAGGACTGTATCAAAGTAACACCTTTCTACAGCTCCATCTCTGTCCATTGATTCTTAGCCTCTAGGTTGAAATCGGGTTTCAGATATTATATTCCTATGGCAGACTATGTGTGTAATCTGCAAATCTAGTTTCCTTGGCTTGCGTTTTTATTTAGATACACCTGAATTAAACGAAAGACTAGTTGGTAGTTAAAATGCGATCTTATTTTTTTAACTGCCTTTGTGTAAAACAAGGGAAATATATCCTCCTAAGAACCAGATGAAACTACAATAAAAAAAATCAAAATATACATCATTGCACAATACACAGAGAATTTTGACTAGTAAGTTCTTTACACTTCAGAAATAGTATTTCTTCCAGTTTTCTTTATGATTGTTTTGAGGCAAGGTGTTTACAGAACGTTGAATTATTTTTCCAGCTTTTTTCTGGCATTTCATTCATGAAGGTATTGATGCATAGTTAGAGGTCAGACCTGCATACTTCTATTGTGTGATGCCATTGTACTGCTATCCTCATAAGACTTCTTCTTTTTCAACCCCCAGGGTCTTGTCTGTACTTGTTTATAGGTCATCTGGATAGTAGCTCCTGGGTTCAGTGACATGAGTGTTATCACAGTAACCTTGGCAACCAAACCAGCTCTGATTTCAAAACCTTACATGGTCACATCATAAAATTCGATAGCATGATTGACATTTAGCTGTATGTCTGTCATATAAATTAAGCTCTAAAAAAAGACTTTCTTTATAATCCTGTGCCTTAATATGGAAATAGAAAGAAGGCACTGATGACAACAAATTTTAAAATATACATGTTATAGCATATTTAGGTACTAGATGCATTTCCTCAATTCTTTGTCTGTAACATTGGACCTCACCTATTGTCATACTATTTTCACTATGTCAGAATTTAGGATGACTTTTGTTTATGATCAGGACAAAGACTTCAGCAGAATTTCATCTGATACCAAATATAAATTGAATTTTGAATAATAGAAAACTCATCCTGTAAAAAAATGTAAAATTCAAAGCTTCTTGCCTTTACTGGATACTGTTATTTATGCTGATTAGAAGGAAGACTGAACATAGAATATTCCACTAACTACATCAGAATCCCGAAGACAAGACATATTCCCCTTTCATTTATAGATTTATGCATTTTTTACACATATTATCCCAACACCCAAGAAGCTTTGATAATACCTTTTTATCCAGAAGATTTTAACTATGCAAACTAATATGTTCATCGACTTTAGAGTCTCAGTTTTCTTTATGATTTGGAAATATTTTAAACTCAGGACTTTCCCTTTATTTGCTGAGGTCTGATGTTATTTTTCTTGGGTATAAATTAAAGATTCGACTTGTGAGTTACTTTTAATGTAAGCACCCTGCAGTTTTCTGCATTGCAAATGATTATTTTTAGAAATTTTATGGTTGCCTGCATATATTTGTTTGTCTTCATTGATATGTAGGAGGGAAAGCTCATAAATGATTTAAAAAGAAGGTATTTTGATTCCTCCACTGATCCTTCTCATTACGTTAACTATAAAGGCAATAAATTAACATCTAATAAAAATTAAAGGAGTTTATTTCTGAACTTAGCTCTAGGATTGTTTTGAATTCTTGCATATAACTATCTTAATGTGTATCTGTCTCATTGCTTTGAAAGTCATCATGCAGTATAGCTTAACCTAGAAACATGGCTTATAATTCCAACTTAACAGCTGTCCATCAAACACCGTATTTAAACAACTGTTTCATGGAAAAGTTCTCTGGGTTCTCGAATGTTAAGTTATTATGTAAATATCAGAAGATCCTAACGTCAAAACTGATTATGACCCAGTTTATCTCCACTCATTTTACCTGCTATGTATCACACATAACATTTGAGAAACCTGCTTCCAATATTTTCTCATCGTAGCCTTCCATCACTCTTTTACCTGATCTTATGGTAAATACTACCTCCTTGCCTTATACCTAGTAAAAAGTCAAAATTCCTGCAAACTCAGGACCTCTCTTTTTGGAAACAGATGAGTGCTTATGCTCTGTACGTGTGAGTACGTGGGAAGAAGGGCAGAAATCCTTCTGTGTATTTGCTGACTGTTTGCAGCAAATACTCATTACATTTTCAGCAATGTGGAAAGTGTTTGCTTTATCTCATCGGGTTGAATCATCATCACCTTTTGTGTTTAAATGAGTAAAAGGTCGGGTTTTTTTTTAATTGTTTTTCTTTTCTCTTGAAACTATTTCTTGGGAGCAGAAATAGTTCAGCATGTCATGATTCCAGGACTGAGTTAAGTTGGTATAGCTATCTCTTCTAGAAGTAACTTCACTGGAAAAAAAACTTCAGTGCATATGCATTTTGCTGTGTGATATGGAAATGGACCATTAGGCTGTGTTGGTGCTGGAATGTGGGGGCTTATCCGGCTGTTTGCATGAATAATAATGAATATCTGGTCCTTTTGTTTGGGTTTTTTTTTGGTTCCTGGGACATGAGCTGGCATTAGGTGAATGGAGGGAGGGGAAAAAGGTACCATGATAGTAAAAGAAAAAAGTGAGAAAAGGCATCACGGGCTTCTTTTGTGGTTTCCTTTTAGATCTGATGTTGTGGTACTCTGTTTTTCCATCGCTAATCCCAATTCCCTAAATCATGTGAAAACCATGTGGTATCAAGAAATCAAACACTTTTGCCCTCGCACACCTGTTGTCTTAGTTGGCTGCCAGCTGGATCTCCGCTATGCTGATCTGGAGGCTGTTAATCGAGCCAGACGCCCATTAGCCAGGTAAGCCAAGGGCTCATACTTTGTTGCTCAAAATAAGAATCAGAGAGAGCAAGGGTCTCTGGATCCCCACACTCTGTGTTTCAGTGGTTCTGGGACACCCCCCCCCATCAACCAGCCATATGCTTTCAGTTAAGTGGTTAAACCTGAAGCGATTACCCTGACCCCCTCCCATACCCACCTTCATTTCTCACGTCACAATTCGTCTTTGTAATATGGTTGGCCAGTGCTTAAGTGAACCCTCTAGGTATGAAATTATGTGACAGAAATATTCTCTAATGTATAAAATAGTACATAAAATGTTAGCGGCCTGTAATAATGTCATTTTGACATCACTATTATAATAAAGTAAATTAATGCTCACAGTGAGTCAGGCATGTGTGGCTTTAAGAAAAATCAAGGCACTTGCTCATATTCATGAGCCTAACCTGTGAAAGAAATTCAATGGCAAGAGGACAGTGTCTAATCCAAAAATCATTTTGAACCTAACAGTTCCACAAAAAAAGCCAACAAATGTCTTCAGTCATTATAAAGTGTTATATACTGTTTTAAAAAATACTTGAAGATTGATTTGTTTTGCTATTATACAATGTGGATATTAATTTTGTGGGAGAAATAAATGTTTTTGAAACCTGCTGTGCCTCAAATTCCCTTTGTACAAAACAGATTTGTCTTTTCGAAGTGTATATATATTTTTTTTCTGGAGAACATAACTTTTCAAAAAATTTTATATTAAAACCTTGCTTTGATGTTGGCCTACTTGTCACAAAATTTTCTAGGGGCACCATTTTCTGTGCTCTTAGTGGAAAAGAACACACTAGCATTCTCAGTATGTTTTGAATAAAATTTCTGAAAGCATTTTTTGTTCAGTCTTCACAATCTTTCTATTCTTAAATCCATATTAAAAGCCACATGGGTATGTAGATGACTGAAGGAAGATTACAGACCTGTAAAGAGAGTGAACAAGACAGGCCTTGCTACATAGCAATTCTAAGACAATTTTATGAAGCAGGTTATTCAAGCCTTACTCTTTCAGATAGTAAATTTTATTTAAGAATATCAGTACCTAAGACAATGTCTCAGAATCAAGCACGTGCTTTTTGAGGAGTTGTAATAACAAATCACATCTTTTCCATGCTCTGGATACTATCTGACCCTTTACCAGATTATTTTATAACCCCAACCCTACACTGATTGTATTGGCTTTACTGGCTTTGATGAGATTGTATGCCAAAAGGCCACAGGCTTTGTGAAATCAAAAGAAATTAATTCAGAATTGCCAGTATATTCTTGTGCTATTTAAGGACATTTCTTGCAGTAATGAGTATTCTTGAGCAAAATTTCACGACTCTACCCAAAAGATGATGAAAACCTAATGAAGGAAGTAGAAGAAGAGAATAAGGTGAAAAAATATGAAAGCCAATTCATGAACCCCCTAGAGAAAACCTAATAAGCTATTGGATATAGATCATTTATCAAGTATAGGAAAAGCTACATTCAATTGCTTAGTAAAGATCTACAATAATTTGTAAATGTGATTCTAAGCAAACCCTTCTAACTTCCTGCCTGTTTCTGCAAAGCATAGAATGAAAATAACATATAGAGACTCAAATAAAATATGTAAATGTGAAATTTTAAAGTTAAAAGGTGTAGTTTAAATTTAAGATGATGATCATGATCATGATCATGATCATGATGATAATGATGGAGATGATGGTAAAGGTAGTATTAATGATGATATCATTATTGGAGCACAGTGGACCAAGTAACTAAGCAAGGTATTTTTTCTCACTTAAATCTTTCAGTAGTTCTTTAAAGTATAGCTACTCAGTATTATTGTACCTGTTTTACAAATGGGAAAACCAAAGCTCAAAGACATTAGATAAACTACTGAAGAACAAAGAGCCAATAAAAGGATTATACTTAACTTCTTGTGGTTAATACTGAAAGCATTTTTCCCCTGTGGTTATAAATTTATACTTGGAAGACCTGTAATTCACAATAGGTTTTTTTAATTGCTTATATTAATACAATAGCATCTTCAAGAGCCTTATTAAAGCCTAAATAAGACTTTAAATGCATAATTTAATTAGGTGCTTGGATAGATACTAGCTAGTTTTTTTTCTCTTATAAAATAAGCCCAATTATACTTTTTTAAATATTCTGTTTCAGGCCCATAAAGAGAGGGGATATTTTGCCCCCAGAAAAAGGCCGAGAGGTTGCCAAGGAACTTGGTATCCCATACTATGAGACAAGTGTATTTGACCAATTTGGAATCAAGGATGTGTTTGACAACGCAATCCGTGCAGCGCTAATTTCACGCCGGCACCTTCAGTTCTGGAAATCCCACTTAAAGAAAGTCCAGAAGCCCTTACTTCAGGCACCTTTCCTACCTCCAAAGGCCCCTCCACCGGTCATCAGAATTCCAGACTGTCCTTCCACAGGGATGAATGAAGCCGCCTGTTTACTGGACAATCCTCTGTGTGCCGATGTCCTGTTCATTCTTCAGGATCAGGAGCACATCTTTGCGCATCGAATTTACCTTGCTACCTCTTCTTCCAAGTTTTACGATCTTTTTTTAATGGAACGTGAAGAATCCCCAAATTGGGGTGAGGGAGTTTGTGAGCAAGAGAGGCAAAGTAAGGATCTCCAGGAACAGATGCTGAGTCTTGACCCAGATGAGGAAGGGCAGGAGGGCCCCCCAAGGACACCGCAGGCTGATGAAGGGACCTTCTCCAGCAAGGACTTGCCAGACAGTTTAGGACTGGAAGAGGGCACAGTTGCTGAGATGCAGAATTTGTCAGGCTGGAGTAAAGGGTTCATCAGCATACACAAGGAAATGCAAGTCAATCCCATCTCCAAACGTGTGGGCACCATGACAATAGTCCGGATGGACTCGTCTGTACAGTCAGGCCCTTTCCGGACCTTGCTCCAGTTTTTATATACAGGGCAACTGGATGAAAAGGAAAAGGATTTAGTGGGGCTAGCCCAGATCGCAGAGGTACTAGAGATGTTTGACTTGAGGATGATGGTGGAAAACATCATGAACAAGGAAGCCTTTATGAACCAGGAGATTACGAAAGCCTTTCATGTCAGGAAAGCCAACCGGATAAAAGAATGTCTCAGCAAGGGGACCTTCTCAGGTGAGCAGGGCTTGTGGGGGAGCCATCTAGCCTTCCAAGGGCATTTTATCAAACACTGCCAAAATGAGCAGAGGAAAGGATATTGCTGGTAACACTTAGGAGTGCCCTTCCCTCCCCGCCCCCTTCCATGTAACTTTCTAAGCCATAGATGCCATCTTATCTAATTTTCATCCTACTTCAGGCTACTCTCTCCATCTTGCATATGGAGAAGCTGAGATACAAAGAGATTAATGTCTGCATGGTAACACAGGCAATAAGTTGAACCCAAGCTTTTGTGGCTGCAGAAATCTGTTCCCTAAAATCGCAATGGCTGTTCCTCGGGATAGATCAGATGTCCCTGAGCCCATCCCCAATCTGCTTGATCCTTAAAACTCCCTTCCAGGGTCCATTCATGACCAGCTCTCTTCTCCTTTGGCTCTTCAAGAGTGACCTCAGGCTACTGAAGTCCTGGCCTTCCTTTCCCATGAAGACTACCTTGTGCATTTCAACCTCTCTCCTCTTCTGCTCTCCACTCTTTGGCCCAGCTCCTCCATAGTTTCTATACCCTTTGTCTTTGATAACTATGGCATGTACCACACACATGCTCTTCTGCATCTGCTTAGGCACACTGGTAGACTACTGAAAGTCAGAGTGACTGATTCTGGCTTGTAAGATAGTACAGTCTTAATCACTTGCTGTATTTTTGTTCTAAACTTGTCCTCTGGGTGTGGGTGATTGTGAATGCCATTGCAAAAAATTAACTTCCTGACTTCTATTTATGTGGACACTTCTATTTTTGTCTTTATCATTCAATCCCCATCATGGTACATTTAGTAAGTGGTTACTTACTAAATCTCTTCATTAATTTTAAAGCTTATGAGTAATATTTACTTCAAGTATTTCCTATTGATGTATAGAAGCAGTCTTGAAAGTTAATCAAATGAACATAGTACAAACCTATAGGAAATTAAGCAGTGTACTTTCACTAAGTTAGTTGGATATATCATCCTCTCCTTGATGCAGAGAAAAACTCATGTGGGATTAGAAACTCAGTACTATTTTTTTTAATGTGAAATCAGCACCAGGTGCCAGTGCCTCGTGCTTATAATCCTTGCTACTCAGGAGGCTGAGCTCTTGGGATTGCGGTTTGAATCTAGCCCAGACAGGAAAGTCTGTGAGACTCTTACCTCCAATACACTACTCAGAAATAGCCAGAAATGGAACTGTGGCTCAAATGTTAGAGTGCTAGAAAGTAAAGTAAAAGAAATTCAGGGACAGCCCCCAAACCCTGAACTCAAGCCCTTGGACTGGCACACACACACAAAAAATGAAATAAACTTTAAAGATGATTAGGGAAATTTGAATTTGAGCTAACTAGTAAATAACATTAAGGAATTATGTTCCATTTTCTTAGGTGAAATAATTATATATCCATATATTTATATTATGTTAGATAATATTCTTATTTTTAGAAAGTTTATAATAAAGTACTTAGAAGTGTCATATTATCTACTTAAAAACTCTACACACATTTACCTAGAATCAAACATTGCAAAATGTTACTAATGGATAAATAAACTATCCTTGTATAGACTGAACATCCCTAGTCTGAAAATTCAAAATCAGAAATGTACCTAAGGCCAGAACTTCCCAGAGGCAAAGAGTGGAAAGTTCTCCATCTGTCTTCATTTGATAGGTCATAGTCAAATGTAGATACATAAAAAATAATGTCTAAAATTACCTTCAGAGGCTGAGTCCATGGTACTCTACGTGGTAGAGTGTTTGCTTATCAAGGACAAGGCCCTGATTTCCAACCTAGTACAATCAAATTAATTAAATGGCTAACTAATTAATTGCCTTTGGGCTACATGACTCTGACACATAAGTAAATTTTGTATTTAAACATTTCACATCAATAGGATGTTATTATGTATATGCAGATAAAACAAAGTCTGAACAAATTCAAAATCCCAAAATACTTCTGGTCCACTGTTCTTCATGTATGAAGTTTTTCCTACTCTGTGACATTTTGGTTCAGAGAATTTTGGTTGTAATGCATTTGAAATATCTGTTTCTTAATGTGAGAGATGGCTGTGCCAAAAGTGAAGGCTGATACCATCAGTGAGTAGATACAGAAGAGTGGCAGATAGAGGTTAGTGGATGTGGGTAGAGCAGAAGTCATGGCTTGAACTATCAGCAAAGCTGGCTCATTCATTGATTCTTTGGCAGATGTGACATTTACCTTGGATGATGGAGCCATCAGTGCCCACAAGCCACTGCTGATCTGTAGCTGTGAGTGGATGGCCGCCATGTTTGGGGGATCCTTTGTGGAAAGTGCCAAAAGTGAGGTAGGTGTCTTATTAAATGATTAGTGGCAACCTTACTAATGTGTGTGTCTGCTTAGGAGAAGTGTTTATCCAGCTGATCTCATTTCTCAACTACTTCCATGAAATAGCTCCTCGAGCCATGTTTGAGTTGTAAATCTCCTTTGGATAAATCTGTAGCTTAAGGAGCTACAAATTCTTCTTGGTCATTCTATTGAGCACATGTGTGCTTGACATGCAACTTATCTTTTGATATTTACATATTTTCTTAACCAGGAGGCCTGGTCAGCTATACTGTCCACAGAAGGTCACAACATGATACCAAAATTATGTATGACCTGGGCATGGTAACACTTCCCTTTAATACTGACTACTCAGGAGGCAGATGTAGAAGCATCTCGGAAGGCCTAGGCAAATGCTCAAAACCCTGCCTAGAAAACAGACAAAATTAAAACTCAAAAAGAACCAAAGGTATGACTCAAGTGGTAGAGTACTTGAAAGTGTGAGGCCCTGAGACCAATCCCTAGTGCAAAAAAAAAAAAAAAATCCAGAGCCGGGCACTGGTGGCTCACGCCTGTAATCCTAGTTACTCAGGAGGCTGAGATCTGAGAATCACAGTTCAAAGCCAGCCCGGGAAGGAAACACCGTGAAACTCTTATCTCCAATAAACCACCAGAAAACCGGAAGTGGTGCTGTAGCTCAAGTGGTAGAGCACTAGCCTTGAGCTGAAGAGCTGAGGGACAGCGTCCAGGCCCAGAGTTCAAGGCCCACGACTGACAAAAAAAAAAAAAAGTCCAGAACATAAGAGACAATGATGATTTTCCAGTTCACAAAAGTAAAGCGTTCTTTGGCCACAGATGTTCCAAAAGGACTTGTGCTCTTAGAACAGAGCAAGCAGTATCTCGGAAACACTGCCCTTATCTTTTCCCAAACTCTGTTGGAAAACAATTGTATTCAGGCATTTCTAACTTTAGGAGCCAACAAGAACTTTTGTTGAGTTTTGCAACTATTTTTTAACCTCTTTAAAAAATGAAAAAAATAAGAAAGCATGGGGACACCCCATCAAGTTTATTGTCCTAAGAAGCTTGTTTCCCTTATCTCAGCATCTCTCTGAACTTTCAAAAGGAATACAGAAAACAATAGCTAACTTTTCAAAAGGGGTGCTTATGGGAAATCTGAGCTGTCCCATTGTGACCTGGGCCCTGCATTTGCATCCCTAAGTGGGGAACCAACCCTAGAATCACAAGCCTGGGATGGCTGGGGTGGAGAAGGTCACTAGGGCACCCTCCTGCTTCCAGAACAAACTTGAGCTTCTCCTAAACCAGCTCCCAGCACAAGACTGTCTGCTGTTTTAGAGCAGAAATGTTAGAATTATCCCAATGACAAATTCTGCTGTCTGACAAGCTCTATAAATCAGGAGCTTCTCACTTGTAACTACGCTGAGTCTCGCGTGTGGTCAATGGTATTGAGGGCTTTTATTAGATGGTCCGGCTTTGCGAGGGTAACTACTTAAGCATTACGGAACTTAAATAACAACTCCTTCACTTACAAGTTGATGGCCTCGGATAACTGACTTAACCTTTCTGAGCTCCAATCTCCATCTGGAAGACCCAGTAATACCACGCAGTGTGCAAGTCAGTTCTTGTCAAGCACTTCTAAGCCTTAAGTAAATGGGTGCCTGCCACCAGTCATGGTGGATGCGGATTATATTCCTTTCCTTTTACTTCCGAGGAAATGTTGTGGTAACCACTGATTAGTAAAAACCTCCTCCAATTGCCATTTTATTGACTACAGTTGTCAGAGACAAAGATCTGGGAAGCTAGCTCCTGGTCATGTTCCAGCATACTGAAATGCCTCTGCTGATGGTCCAGCGGAGAGCCTGCTGTTAACTGGGCAGAGCAAAGTTGATCAAGGTCAGGAACCCAGGCACAAAGAGACACTGTCAGCACTGACCTCATGAATACTAATCCCCTTTATCCCGTCACAGAATGGACTGTAATCTTCTCCAGATTAAACTGTGCATTCGAGGTGACCAAAACAAAAACTTGGCAACAAAAGTGAACATGCACATGTTTTTATTTTGTGTTTTTGTGGGTTTTTTTTTTACCTTCCTAGAGGTGGCTACCTGGTTAGTGTGCCATCCTGAAATGATGCACAACAAGAGAAAACAGAAGCCACATTTTGAGAGGTCAAATTGGGAGTCTTTATTAGAAAGCTAGTGACTGCAAATGGATTCTTGTCACCTGCAGCCCTGGAAATACACTTAACACTGTCCAAAAAAAAAAAAAAAAAAACTGAGCCATGAGAGCAGGAGAGGAAAGAAAGAGCAGAAAAACAATACCAACAAACCAGATCAGCTCCAATGGAGAGCTAAAATGGGATGCCATGTTGACCAAAGGAAAGCCAGGAGATATAGGAGACTTAGCACATGGCATCCCAATCCTGAGCTGTTCGGGGCCTAAATAGAGTCAAGGTCAGGGAGCAGGGTCACAGGAAACTCGAGTGTCTCTCGAGTTCAAAGCACAGGACTGACAGGCCCAGTAACCTATTGTCCAAGTGTCTGCCCCTGCCTCTTGGAATTCACCTGGGAGGTGGGACTTACCCTTCTTCCACCATGAAGACAAGATGGTGCCAGTTAAATTCAATTCCCTATCCACTACATGGCCAAGATGGCACCAGCCAGCTTCAACATCCCTGCTTCATAAGGACTACACACTTCATAGCTAGGGTTGGTATGGACATGAAGATTCAAGCCATTCAAAAGACAAACCCATGGGACCAAGTAACAAAATTGTGCATGAAATTCCATCAGCCAGTTGTACCCAAAGAATGCTAGTCGCTGTTAACATTTCCATTCTTCTCCTGTGATAGTTACTGTTGATGGTACCCGACTATTTGCCTAACAGAAGCATCCTTTCAAAAACTGTTATGAAGGAAAAAGGGAAACAGCGGCTCTTGGGTAGTGACAAACATCAGAACATTGAGGACACCAGAAGTATTAGAGCGGGATCACTCACTGGAATCCTGTTGCCAGAAATAACTTATTTTTCACTTAAGATAGTCATTTTCACATTTGTATTTCTAATGGGAATTTATTTTTTCTTTGAGGGATGAATTAGAAAACACTCTTAGCAAACAATCCTAAAAATTCAGATAACTTTCAAAACCCAGAAACTGGAGGAAGGAAAGAAGGGAGAAAAAGAGGGAAGAGGGAAGAGGGAAGGGGGGGAGGGGGAAGGAGGAAGGGGGGAACAGGAAGAGGGAAGGGGAAGGGTCTCAATGTTAAAAACCATTCCTGAAACAACACTTCATTGTTCTATAACCCAAACCATTGCCAGTAAGGACTTCTGGTACTACACACCAACTCAGAACATGCACCAGAATTTTATTTCCTGAGCTTAAATCCCAGTCACTACTTCCTGGCTCTGTGACCTTTGAAATATGACATACTGTTCCTGAACTTCAATTTCCTTTTCTGTGAAATCAAAATAGCCTTCCTCCTAGTGTGGATACAAGGACCAAATGAGATATATGGAAAGCTCAGCACAGTGGCTGGTATGGAGAAGGTCTTCTAGTAAGGTTCACTTTTGTCGTCATCCACATTCCAACAGAAAGGCCAAGTGGTACTATCCTGTAGCACCACAAGGCCTTTCTCACAGGGTTAATTAGGGAAAGTAAAGAATGTACACCCAAATTGACCCAGGCCCATCCATCTAGAACTGAATTTCCCAGGCATTCCCTGCCCCTACCATTGCCTTTATGTCAACAGTGTCCCAGACACTCAGGGAAAAGACCTGAGGAATCCTACAAGAAACAGTGAACCATCCCAACCAACCAACCCAAACCCAGATGTCCTTTGGATACTATGAATTTACAGAGACCTAATCATGTTCCAGGAGTTCTGAGTCCATGTGGTTGCAGGAAAACAAAATAACAGAATGTGTATATGATATTAATATTACTAACAGGACATCAAAAACAAGCCAGTCACTGTGGCTACAGAAGCAGTTGTTCTTTCTCTATTTGGACATCTTAAAAGAGCCAGGCTTCGTCCTGTGTTGGCAACAGAGTGGATTGCAGCTCCCCCAACACCTGTCATGTTGCTAGGAGATTTCTTTCTCCACAATAGAGAGTTCTCGGGTACTTGGCAAGGAAGGCTCAAATGTCACCATACATTTACAACCCATTTGTCTGATTTACACATCCAGATAGCCATTTAAAAAATTCCAAATCAGGCTTTGTCAGGCAGCGCCACTCCATTGTCATCTACAAATCAAGCTGTTGTGTTTACACCCATAAATATTGGGTGGCTTCTATGTGCCTTCTCAAAGCAGGTACCTGAGACTTGCCAGCATGGATTCACAGTGTTGGGATATTTATAAGCAGCAGAGTCTAAAACTTTCTCCAGCAGAATTCAGCTTTGCCTATAATATTTCAGGTATATCTCCCGAACATAAACAAGATGTCAATGCAAGCAGTGTTGGATTATCTCTATACCAAGCAGTTGTCCCCCACCTTGGATCTGGATCCACTGGAACTAATTGCCTTGGCAAACAGATTTTGCCTGCCACACTTGGTTGCACTGGCAGGTAAGGCTGATAGCTTGGGTTGTGCAGTGTCTGACTGTCACATTTATCAGAGGGGGGGGGAGCAGGGGGAAACATGTAAACAAAAACTAAGATTTCTAGGAAAGCAAAATTTGTTTTCATCCCTTCCCCCCACAAACGGCACTGTCTTACATAGGTGATACAAGCTGATCAAATCTATCAGACAATCTAATCCAACATACCATTCATAAGCACCTATTTGGGAGCAGGCCCTGTTTGGTGAAGCAAATATAAAAGGGAATAACATAAGACCCCTTCCTGGAGGCACATGCTATATCCTGTGAAGTCATTGGTGGACTGGGGAATATGATGTCAACAGTATCATCAAAACGTATGCATAGGCATGGTATTTAAGCCAGGAGATGCCTTAGATTAGAACAGAGCCAGATTGCCTGCTTCCAGACCTGACCCTTCTATTCAAAGACATTGGTCTTTAGCTAACCTGAGCCATGCATCTCAGGGTTCCCCCTTTTTAAATGTAAGTGGTTTGCTTAAAGCTGTTTTAGAAAATGTTCTGACACTGTCGCCTTCATTTTGAGGGGTGGGGGAGAAGAAAAAGGAAGATTTGGCTTAACTTCAAAAGTCTAATCTGTGATTCCAAATATGTTCGGTTGGTTAAGCAGAAGCAAGTCTATATAGAAGGTGGGCATTTAAATATCTTTTCAAAAAATAAACTCTTCATCCCTCAGTGGGGTCAATGAGCAATCTGGGTGTTTTTCACTATATTGGGTTGATCCTAGTAACTATGACTGCAGAGCAAGACAGCTCCTGCCTTGTTCCCTAGTTTCCCTACATAAATTCTAACTGAATAACTGAGCAACTGGAAATGAGGATAGTACAGACCAGCCCGTCCCATGCACAGTTCATTGCCTGGCAAGATTTTAGATAAAAATGAAATCCCCTGTCTTCCAGGATTCTACTATTCACTAACTAACTGGAAATCAAAGTCCTTCACCCTACTTTTTCCTCTATAGAAAAATTTGAAGCATCACTATTGTATTTCTTTAGGTCTTTTAAATCAATATACCTGAACCCGAGATCTAAATGACTTAAACTACTCAAAGTTTTAAACACTAACTCTAGAAGATTTTCCAGCCCATCTAACTATCCACAGATTTTACAAATGTTTGTCCTTTGAGGGTAATTTGAAATGACCAAAAGCAATTTTGACAAGTGTGCCAAACAGGATTTGTGACCAGTCATGGTTTTGTGCCACTTTTTGCTTAAATATTATAACTGGCATGGAGAACATAGGATTGAGTTCTCCATGAAAAAAATAATAATAATAACAGGCCCAAAGAAACTTCGTGAGTGAACTCCAGGTTTCTTTGTTACTTTTATAAATGTTATTGCCATTATGATTATTTAATAAACAGCTTTCCAAGAAAATTCCTTGAATCATTTATATTATTTGACTGCACAGTCTTCTGCACAGTATTTAGAACATCTTTATGGGGTATTTAAACCTCAATTTCTGGAGAGAAAACCTTTTAGAAGCTAGTGTAAAATGAACGTCAAGAGATGATGCAGTTACTTAAAATTAAAGAACCCTGGTGACTTCTCTGGGAAATTGAGGAGGGTTATAGCAAAGGAACCATAGCATTTTAGCTTCCATACAGACTGATCAGATGAAGACATAAGACTAAGAAGTGCATAGAGCCAGAGCAAGAAGTAGGCTTGATTTGAACAATACAAACTTACCTCCAAGGTATTGCATAAACAATAACTGTTTTATAAAACTAGAGCATTCAGGGATGGGAAGGTGGCTCAGTGGTCCAGTGCTTGCCTTGCATGCATAAGGCTCTGGGTCCAATTCCTTAGTGCCACATAAGCAGAAAAAGCCAGAAGTGGCTCAAGTGGTGGAGCTCTAGCCTTGAGCTGAAGAGCTAACGGACAGCACCCAGGCCCAGAGTTCAGGCCCCACAACTGACAGAAAAGAAAAAAAAACTAAAGCATTCAGTTTGCAATAAAGCAAATATCACTGGAAGTGGCACTGTGGCTCAAGTGGTAGAGCGCTAATCTTGAGCTGAAGAGCTGAGAGATAGTGCCCAGGTCCAGAGTTCAAGTCCCACAATTGACAAAAAAAAAAGGAAGGAAAGTAGCAATCAGTACTCTGGATTCTAAAAAATTATTGGGGCTGGAAATGTGGCTTAGTGGTAGAGTGCTTGCCTAGCATGCATTAAGCCCTGAGTTCGATTCCTTAGTACCACATAAACAGAAAAGTCCAGAAATAGTGCTGTGGCTTAAGTGGTAGAGTGCTAGCCATGAGCCAGAGAAGATCAGAGACAGTGCCCAGACCCTGAGTTTAAGCCCCAAGACTGGCGAAAGAAAGAATGAAAGAAAGGAAGGAAGGAAGGAAGGGAGGGAGGGAGGGAGGGAAGGGAAAGGAAAGAAAGAAAAGGAAAGAAAGGAAAGGAAAGGCAAATATCACATTAAAGCCAATTGTGAACTTTTTCTGGTTTCATGGGAAATATTGAAGTGACATCTGCACTATAATATTATCATCTTAAGCATGACAGTGTATTGTATCTTATATAAAAGTATATACCTCAATTATAAAATAAAGATTGCTCTTTTAAAATACTGAACAATTGTGTGAGCACTCAACTAGTTGTAATCTTTTTGCTAACGGAGAGTCTCCCTTATGACTGCTGGCTGATCAAAGCAAGGCAGTAATGCCAAGTTTACGATGGCTGTGCCAATTTCTTAAAAGTTGGCACTGAAGTTTGCCGCATACATTGATCCTTCCTTTCACAAAAGATTATTTGTAGCTTGTTTTTTCAAAAACAAAAAATCTGAAGCCCATATCTCCAATCCCTGCCTCCTTTTTAACACTTAGTTTATGTAATATTCAGATATGATGTCATTGCACCAGTGTTCCCAGCGTTTTATCCAAGAGTAATTTCTGACTGGACCAACTGCTTTCTTAGCTCATCAGTAAGCAGCAACACATTATATGTTAATGTTGCATCCCAAGATGGAAGCAATTCAGGCTCTAGTCCTCTTAGACAGTTTTCCCACTCCTCATTCTATCTATCTTGCAATTTCCACCACGTCTGCAGTTGCTTCCCCCACTGACATCTGGAAGTCCTCATGGAGGACTTCCAAATGCCTTTAAGGTTGATATTTTGGCCTCTCCCCATGACTCACAAGTGTTCTTAATGGCATGTAGAGTGAATGCTTTCCAGAAAGTTTCAATTTCTTTTGCTCAGATCCATCAGAGGAATCACTACCTGCAACAACTATAGCCTTACTTACACAGATTTCTTAAATCATAAGATTTGAAAGGTAAAATTATCCCTCGGTCCATGACTGCAGAATGAATGTTTTGTTGGGCATGAAAATGAACATTATAAAATCATATGTCTTTGTTAGATCTCTTAGATGGCCAGGTGCATTGCAAATAAGCACATATATTTTTTAAAGGAAGCTTTTCTCTGATAAGTAAGTCTCAAGAGTGGGCTTAAAATACTCAGGAAGCTGTGTTGCAAATAGATATGCTGTCACCCAGACTTTACTATTCTGTTCATAGTGCAGAGCAAATAGTGTAGATCTTAAGGGTCCAATAGTTTTCCAAGTAGAAAGTGAGTACTGACTTCAACTTAAAAGTTACCAGCTACATTAGCCCTTTTAACAAGAGAGTCTTCTTGTCTATTGAAGCTTTAGAGCCAAGCACAGACTTCTCTCTAGCTATGGAAGTACTCAATGGTATCCCATCATTTCAGGCTCTTTGTCTCCATTGGAAATCTGTGGTATTGTCTAGATATTTTGGATAACTTGCCGCAGCTTCTTTACCAGCATTTATCTGTTTTATGGAGATATCTGTTTTCTTAAACCTTAGGAACCCACCTCTGCTGGCTTCCACCTTTTTAGAACCAAAGGGTGTTGCGTCTTGCTTTAGAATAGCCTTTGGCTTAAGGAAATATTGTGCTTGGTTTGATTATCATTTCAGGCCACTAAAACTTTCTCCAAAGCTTTCTCCAAAACTTTCTCTTAACATTTGTGTGCTGCTCACTGGAGTGGCACTTTTTATTTCTCTCAAGAACTTCCCTTTCACAATCATAACTTAAACTCTGTAATAGAAGAAGCCTAGCTTTAGATCTGTCGTAGCTTTTTACATAGCTTTCCCATTAAATAGCAATCATTTCTAGCTTTTCACTGGCAGTGAGAGATATATGACAATTCCTTTCATTTGAAGACTTATAATCCATGAGGCTTATTAATTAGCCTAATTTCAGTGCTATATGTCATAAAGAGGTGTAAGGAAAAAAGAGAAACTTAGAGAAATAAGCTCATCAGTGGAGCAATTAGAACACATGCAACAAGTATCTATGAAAGTTCACCATCTTCCATGGGTCCAGTCTCTGGTGCCTGAAAGCAATTACGTTAATTACACCAGAACAGATGTAATATAATGATGAAAGTGTTTGAAATACTCCAAGAAGTACCAACATGTGTAACTAAGACATAAATTGAAAAATGGCACAAACAGACTTGCTCGACAAAGTCTTGCCATTATCTCCAAAGTGCAATCCAGTGAAGTGCATTAAAATGAGGAACATTTGAATATTAGATTAGAACAAGTCCTATGCTAGAGATGACATCAGCATCGAGGAACAAGAAATGCAAGACTGGGCTAGGAATGTGGCATAGTGGTAGAGTGCTTGCTCAGCATGCATGAAAAAGCCAGAAGTGGCACTGTGGCTCAAGTAGTAGAGTGCTAACCTTGAGCAAAAAGAAGCTCAGGGGCAGTGCTCAGGTCCTGAGTTCAAGCCCCAGGACTGGCAAAAAAGAAAAAAGAAAGAAATGCAGGACCAAGAGTCGATACATACATGCCAATCCCAGAAGCAAGAGACAACCCCCAACACAGGCAAGAAACATCTCAACCTTAGAACCACAATTCTGCATTCAGCTTACAACAGTTGGACACAGATTCCCAAGAGGCAATCCTAGTTATCCCAACTGGATTTTTGTAACATCTAATTGAAACTCTCTCCCACCTTTGTAGCCTAAGAGGTTGAACAATATGCCATGCCTCTGGCACTGCGGATACAGAGGTATACATTCACCTATCTAACTCACCGAGATGTATACATTCACCTATCTAACTCACCGAGTAGAGATAAATACCAAAACTGTTGAACATGAACATGTCTAGAGAATTCCTGGAAGCTGCTGGACAGTCTGGAGCCACACTGTCCAGTAGAACTGTCTTGCATGGTTATAAAAGTTCTATACCTGCATCACCCGGTGTAGAAGACATGTGGACTTTTGAGTAATTAATGTGCCTGGTGTCACTGAGGAGTTGAACTTTAATTTCATCCACCATTGATTATCTGAAGTAGTCTTATTTGGCCCAAGGGCAGTGCAGATCTGAGGGAAATGAGCTACTTCAGAAGCCCAGATAAGAGTTCCCAAAGATGATGGTGCAGTAGCATACGAAAAGTGTCCCCCCACCCCTATCAGAATCTAATCTACATTCAGTTTAGGCACCTGACCTTAGCAGTCCGTGTTCCATATAGTCTTTCTCTTAAGAAGTTGCAGACCAGCCTCTTGGGTAAGAGTCCTAGCCCGTGGAGTGCTATTTAACTGCCCCCTGTCCTTCTCTTCCCAGAACAGCATGCCGTTCAGGAGCTGACCAAGGCCGCAGTGAGTGGTGTGGGCATCGATGGCGAAGTGCTCTCTTACTTGGAACTGGCCCAGGTTTGTAGCAGTTTTCCCTTTACCTCTGAAGTGTGTTCAACTAGTTCATTTAATGCTGATAAAACATTCCATCGTTGCATCTGTCTAAATAAAGATGTCACCACTGAGTCACAGAGGCCCCCTGTGTATACTGAGAAGATCTGAGAGTTTTACATTTCAGTTTTACCATTTGCCCTGCTGGGCTTCCTTTGAAAACACAAGGACCCCCACACCCACACCAGTCCCATTGTTCCCTAAGGAGGTGACTACAAGCACAGGAAAATCACTGGAGTAAAACAGAAGGAGGTGGTTGTCTCTCTTCCTTCTTGAACATGTATTTGGCCAAGAACAGACAATTTCTAGAATTCTAGGAAAGCCCAGAAATGTACTCCTCCTATATTAATGGACAGCTTGCTGGAGCTCTTCTAGATTTTCCATATTAGTTTTTGTTCATACCAACATCCATAAATCCAAGACATAAACATGGTCTTCTAAAGACGCTCTTAGCTCCAGCTCATCTTTTATCAAGTAACTTGGTCAAGGCACAAAGCTAAGCTCTGCCTTGGTGTCTACCCATAAGAAATGAGGATACTGAGTCACAACCTCTGAGACCTTGCAGAACATTTGCACAAACAAAAGGGAAAGAATGTTCAAGAAAGAGCCCTGAAGAGCAGAGCCTCTCATAGTCCAAGGTTCACCTGCAAAAGGATCTCATCCTTGGTATGACAGAGGAACGGTGAGAAAGGAGGATAAATTCTGCAGTCTTTTTTGTGCTTTTGAGTTTGGCTTTGGTTAACTCTTAGGCAATTTAAACCAGTAATTCTCAAGGGGGAGTAGATTATTCCAGGGTGAAGAAAGTGGCAATGCAGCAGGTGTCAGGCAGGTCATCCAACTGTGACCATAAGAGATGGCTCAGATTCAAAGGGAAAAAAGGTGAAAGAGGACTTGGAGCAGCTTATTCACTCTGACCCAACATTCAATAAATATTTGTTACTTTTTCCCCAGTACCAGAAAGGTACTGGGTGGAAGACATGTACCTACAAATGGGATTCTCTGCCCTTGAGGCAACGTAAGCAGTGAGAGAAACAAACCCAAATGATTAAAAACCCAATATGAAAACCAGTCTGCTAAAGATTGCAGTAAAAGCTGACAGATACCCTTTTGCAGTAGAATCAGCAAGCCCCTGCCAACACTAGTGATCTATGGTCTGAAATGTGGGGGCATTATCTACCATATCTGAGACTAAAGATCTAAACAATTGTTGAAAGGTTGCCTCAGTAAAGTATGAAAAGAAGAAAATTGGGAGTTTTTGAAGTACCCTCCACACACACACACACACACACACACACACACAATTTGACTTGGACATTGCCCAATAAGTATCCGTCATCATAAAGAAAAGGGAACTGAGTCACAATTGCAAATAGTACCAGTTCACTTGGGGTGATGATTTGAAGTTGTGTTTGTTTACTCTGTGTTCCCATCTGTCCCAGCCTCCCACACTGCCCCCGCCACACCCACACCCTGGAAGGCAGTGTGATTACTTGCTTAAGCCCTGACAAGCCTTCACAGGAAGAGCTCGGATGTAGTCTCTCACGTCCTCACTCATTTGTTAGCCAGTACTCCGGGATGTACTCTTAACAGTTCACTGAGGATGATATGGGAACCTGACCTGTTGTATTTTCCAATCTCTGTGGTGTAAATACTACTGCGAAGGTTGGTTTGAACAATATGGATTCACTGCGTTAAGAAAGAGTGGGGAAGCTCGGTGGGGCTGGTCCAGACTTCCCAGAAAGAATTGGAAGCATCAGCCTTAAACTAGCCCAGATGTCGGAGCTGTGACCTTACAACTCCCTTGAGTGGGCTTCGGAAGCATCGGGCTTTGCTAGCTTTTCACAGGCGAGATGCCAGCCACAGGGGAAACCACATAGGAGGGTCCAAGATTTCATCTGGCCTAAGAAACGTCTGAGAAGGGCATAAGACACATCCTGCCAGATCTTACAAGATGAAGGGGGTGTTGGCTCGCATCTGGCGGGGGGGGCACTGGGTCTTTTTTTGGTCACAGCAACCTCAACTACCGTGTCTCTGAGCCTCTGTCTGCCAAGAAAGAATGGGTGGAGTGTTTGGATGCCTTCCAGCTTGCCCCTAAGCCAGCTCTTCTTATGTAACCAAAGGACAGGTATAGAACAGTCATGTGTTCTGCAGTCTCCTCTTTCTCATCTTTGGCCCCAGCAAGTTGAGCTCTGACATGTGACCCAAGCTTCCTTAAACAGAGATGACATCGCTGCTTTCTGTTACTGCCTGGTGTCTTCCAGAGGGCACCCGGTGGCATATCACTAGCAGGCCAGGTGGCAGGGAAGGGTGGGAGGGTGCAGTGTCCGTTAATCTCCCGATGAGATGCAATGATAATTTTGGGTTATCCTGAGGGAGGAGGGGTAAAGGAGGTCATGCCAGGTACTACCCTTGATTGTTATGGCCAGTGTTAAACTTCAAAGTCAAAAGAGAGTTAATGAATGGGTTCTATAACTATTTCCCTTCACTCCTACAATGGTTTAAGTCTCAGTTTAAAAAAAAATGTAGATAGGCACCAGTGTCTCACACCAGTAATCTTAGTTACTCATGTGACTGAGATCTGAGAAGACTGCCTGGGAAGGAAAGTCTGTGAGACTGTTATTTCCAATTAGCCACCGAAAAGCCATAAGTATGACTCAATTGGCAGCCTTGAGCAAAAAAAAAAAAAAAGAAGCAAACAGACAGCAGCACCTGGGCCCTGAGTTCAGGCCCCAGAATCAGAAGGAAAAAAAAAAAGAGAGAAGAAAAGGCGTTAACTCCTTTGATCCCTTTTCTGCAGTTTCACAATGCTAACCAATTGGCTGCCTGGTGTTTGCACCACATCTGCACCAACTACAACAGTGTGTGCTCCAAGTTCCGCAAAGAAATCAAATCTAAATCCGCAGGTGAGACTGTGTGTTGGAATCCCCATTTGTCTCATTCTCCTCCTCCCTGACAGATGCATCTCCCCAAGGTGGCCCTGGGTGTGGGGGAGAGGCAGAGGGAGGAGCATGCTGAGCAGACAACTTGTGGAGAATCCCTGCATGCAGAGATTTTGCCCAGGAGCAAGTTTAGACTCTCTGAGTTCTGAGTCTCTGCTGCCTGGCTACATGACTTACAGGCAAGAAATTCTACCTCTCAACAAACTTGAGTGTCACAGTCTGCAAGTGACTCTAGTTGTCCCACACCGCATGAGACAGTGTGACTGATGTAGAACTTGAGGCCTCCTGCATAGAACAGGTAGTGATGGACAGACATGACCATTAGTCTCTTTCCCTTGCCAGAAAACCAGGAGTACTTCGAACGGCACCGCTGGCCCCCAGTGTGGTACCTGAAGGAGGAAGACCACTACCAGCGAGTAAAAAGGGAGCGGGAGAAGGAAGATATCGCATTGAATAAACATCACTCAAGACGAAAGTGGTGCTTCTGGAATTCATCTCCAGCAGTGGCCTGAAGAGGAAGAGAGAAGACACCCAGTAAATGTGATACTCCACTTTTAAAAGCACTACTGTAAAATTAGTCTTCTGATTAGAGATATGACTGTAGTTCAGGTTTCAGGCACTGACCTTCCTCCACTTTTGTGCATTTCTCTTCCTTAGGATCAAAGCACAAGCTCACCATCAATGAGCCTGGACAAAACAAAACAAACAAACAAAAAAAAAGGGAAACTGACTCTCACTGCATTCCTTAAACTGATAGGTATATTTTTCTGTTAGGGAGGCTTAATAAACTTTAGTCCGTTATTTTGTTTCTTTTTATACAAAAAAAAAATCCAGCTTTCATGTTTCAGATTCCAAATTGGAAACTATTTTTATATGGTCTCTTGTATTTTGTTGAAATGAAAATACTATGTATTACTTTATTTTACAGGCCACAAATTGACCATGAAGTTGCCCACAAGGCTAAGCATCATTACATAATTAGAGGGTTATCCTTTTTGTTTGTGTGATGTAAAGGGTTGGATTGAAATCCCCCAGAGCGCAAGCTGAAAGTGCTTAATCTTTGTGCTGCTGGATAACATCGGTATAATTACCAACTCTACTCAAAGAATGTGTATTTACAATATTTGCTGTGTAAGTGCTAGTAATTATATGGTTCTATGTGCCATGTAAAATATAGTGATAGCAAATATTCTGTTGTTTAACATGTCTAGATTCAAGATAATCTTTATAATCATTAGAAGGGCTTATTAAATCCCAGCATTATCCAGGGCAAACTCACTGGTGGGCCTGACTACATAAGAAATGCTAGAGCTAAAGCATTGGTATCTGGATTGCTGTGTTAGGTTTGTAGCTCTCGATGTTCCTTGGTCCTGCCATGCTTCTGCATGCAGACTTTCCATTGACTTGAACTGAGATGAGCAAGAGACAAGGTCCCCAAACTTGTCCCACCATCCTACAGGCTGATCACCTCTCACCACCAGAAACAGGCTTCCTCAAGTCTCTGACTTGCAGCCAACGTTACAAAGATGCATATTTTAACTCTTTCCAGGGAAAAATTCATGTCACTGCAGAAAGAGGCCACGGCAGACCACCCACTCTGCTGAAATACAGCAGGGCCTATGAAAGCACAAAGCTAGAGGCTGGGTCCCTGCCTTCTCCAACCCAGAAAGACATCTAATACCAAGAGCCTAGGAAATGGTGCTATTGTGAGTTAGTACTGACCCTTTGTCCTTCTGAATTTTCAGTGTTAAAATAGAAAGTAGAGTAGAGAATGGGTGAGGTTTCAAGAGGCAGTTTAGATCATTGCTTCTCTGAACATTAAGATGTTACAGGACACACAACACCACACACACACACACACACACACACACACACACACACACACACACACACAAAGCATTGTAAAGGGCAGAGCCCCCACCCCATACCTGCCACAGGATGTTGTGGGTTGTCACTGGGTCTCATTCTGTTGGAAGAAGGTCAACTTACTGATGCTAAGGGCTATTTTTGTTTTGTTTGTTTTTTGTTTTCTAACTTTCCAAAAGATGAAAAAGACACCACTTCAAATGCCATATGCATTTGAAGATCTGTCTGTATGACAGGTGGATGTTTATTCCTGGCACTGGAAACATACCAGATAGGAGGGCTTAGAGAAGGCCACAAATGTATCACTTTCTCGTGGCAAGGGGAGGGAACAGTGGGAGAGAGATGGTGACAAATGCATCCACCTAAACTTTTTTCAATAAGAATGTAAATCATTAATGGAAGGAGGAAACGGACTAGAGGATATATGTCAATACTCAAGGAGAATTGGCATCTATCATGATAGAGGTTGAGTTTTCAATGAGTAGTCATAGTTGAATTTATACAACCAAAGCTTCCATTTGATTGTAATCTTGCCAAAATACAATGGACATATAAATGAACGTGGGGTATAAGCAATAATATCCACTAGTGTTGTTATCAGCTACTGTAACCAAGTGGCTGGTTCATTTGGTTGATGCTGATTATGGCCTTTAACTATGGTGGTTTGTTTTCGTGTTTTTTATTTCACAAAAAAAAAGCCAATAAAATTGTTTAGCTACAAAATGTCTCCAGTTTTGTTTCAAAGACTAGCATCATATCTCGTGAGTAATTTAATATTTGTAAAACTTACAAACACTGAGAGGCGTGGGTGATGGGAGCCTGTCTGTGTGTACTCAGTGACAAAACAGCTTAGATGATGATCATCTCTGATTGTCTGCAGAAATTCAGTGGCATGAGGTCAATGAGGCTTGTGGCTTTTTGCTCTTAGGTAGTAGAATTACATCATTTGACTCCATGCCACCTTGGTGAAGGGGAGGGGGAACACCTTCCCACCCTGATCCGCGCGGAATGAGTACAGTCAGGATGTGGACTTTTCTGCTAGTGATCAACTGAGAGGTTCCGATTAGGACACTCAGAGGAAGTCTAAGAAAGACTGGGGAAATTTGTAAACAATTTCAGAGGTAATAGAAGACTGTCATGAAATCTACTTGTGGAGCTTTTCTGTCTAACTTCTCTGTACTCTCTTGGGAAGGGGTTGACCACTACAAGAAGTAAGACATAGGAAGCAGAGAATGGGATTTGCAGAACATTCCCACACCTTTTAAAGGTGAGTATTCTCAGTTATGGCACCTGGGCATGCCAGTAGTCTTACATGTAGAAATTCCTGGTCCTCCGTATCTCTTAGGGGGTCTGGAATTGACCCCTGAATTGACATGGGGGGAAACAAAACAAAAATCCTACTGGTACAGAGGAACTGAAATATTTTCATTATACATGCTCAGATGCCAAAGGTCAGTGATCCTACGATATTTCTGTTCACACTTGCCTTGATTTTATTGGCATAGCCATTGGCAGAATTTAGTTTTTCATCACTATGACATTGGCTAAATAGAATGAATTGTGCTAGTCAGGGGGGGATACTGAGTCCTGAGCTGGAAAACTTTTGTAATTTTTAAGTGCATGCTTATCTTCAAGATGAAGGCTTAACAGTCTTTTCTTGAATTGAGAGTTTTTAAGGTGGACAGAAGATAGGTAGGTAGACAGACAGACAGACAGACAGATCTCCTAATTGGATGCTGATAGACAAGCTACAGTAATTTTTTTCTGGAAGAATGCAACTATTGCAGGAAAGCTGTGGAGTTAAAAGTCAAGGCCAATATGTTTTGGTGCATATGTATTTGTGAGTGTGGTAACCAAACAGCAAAACAAAGCAAAAAGAAGGGAAAGAGAGAAGTAAAGGCAACATCAAAAAATGAGGGAGAAAATCCATTGACCAAAACTATGGGAGTTGAATTAAGAAGTCTAAGCCACATTCTTTTGCAGAGTGCTAAATTAGATTATCACCAAACTTTGTATCTGAGTTGATATATTTAATAGGGATTTTGAACTCACAACAAACAGCTGTTCTACCACATGAGTCCTTTTTGCTTTAGTTATTTTTCAGATAGGTTCTTGTGCCCTCTGCTAATGCCAGCATTAAGCTGTGTTTCTCTCAATATCTTGGATCACTGACATGCACCACCATGCCTGGCTTGTTCCTTCGGATAGGATCTCTGAGTTGTGTTCAGCCCAACTTAATTGATTTTCTCATAAAGAGGTTGCTCTCTTGAATTTTCAATTAAAGGCAGGTAATGTGTGCATCAGGAAAGATTTAACATTAGAAAGGTGAGTGAAGATGCTTGTGTGGCGTACTTGGTGTCCTACAAAGCAATGCTATGGAGAAGCAATGTAATTTCACTTGGAGGAAGGTGCAAATTCACCCTTCGCTGACATTGCTTCTCACTGGCTATTTTTACTTGAGACATTTAGATACATGGTGGTGTTATGTGTTGTTTTTTTTAAAACTAGGTTAATGTACAGGTGCTCTTCAGTTATTTATAGATATTGTCTAAAATACAAGGGAATGATTTATGGACAGATAATTCCTGTGTAAAAGCCAATTAATCACACAGTTGCACATCCACAGACTTGAATGCACTGTAAACAAGAATAATGGACACAAAGTAACTGGTCAGAGATTTGCTCTGGTGTCCCCTGTGTCCAGAGCACATCTTTGTAACAGAGATCCCTGGAGACTCAAGATGAATTAGGAGCTACCTTTATGTGGCCCATGGAAGGAGTACTAAGTTCTTGGAATCCAAATATGTTCCCAAATCCCAAAAGCAAAATTTATGAGACATTGCAGGTGATCAATAAGGAATTCTGCTTGGATGCCAACTGACATATTTTATAGCATCCCAATATGAGACATATATCTTTTGGATGATTGATGAAGGTCCTCATCACAGGGATACACACATGACATATTGCATTTATCATGGGGAAAGATCCACAACCTCTCTGTGCTTTACTCTTCTAGAAAATGAGAACCGATTTCACTGAGATTGCTGGGCACAATATTTTTCCCCATAGTGAATAGTTAGTGAACAGTAAGCAAAACAAATGAAGTTGAACCTCTGTATTCAGCATATTCTAAAAACAAGACATGAACCAAAGGAAGGCAACCATATAAGTTACAGAATAAAAACAATTTGGTCTTCTGTGCCATTCTCTTCAATATTCTTAGTGCTTCCTGAAAATTATTAAAGAAGTAAAAAAAAAATAGATTTGCTAAGAGCTAAGAATGGGATTACTGAGAAGGCTGAGGCAGGAGGATTGACTTCAAGGTCAGCCTGGGCTGCACCGTGAAACACTGTTTCAACAAAAATCAGAAAGGGGGAGAGAGGGGGGAGAGCAGAGGGGAGTGAAAGGGAGTGAAAGGAACTGAACAAGAGTTGTTAAGGGAAAATCTGTGGATGAGAACATGGGAAGGAGGAGAATTCCATGGTTCTAATAATGTTGGACTATTACCAGGCCTAAGTTGGCTGAACCTCTAAATCATTAAAATGCTTTCTTTTTAATGCTCCCAATCTTTTTCTTTTCTTTTCTTTTGATGGTTGTGGGGCTTGCACTCTGGGACTTAGCGCTGTCCCTCAGCTCTTCAGCTCAGGGCTAGCGCTCTACCACTTGAGCCACAGTGCCATTTCTGGCCTTTTCTGTTTATGTGGTGCTGAGGAATTGAACCCAGGGCCTCATGCATTCAAGGCAAGCGCTCTACCACTGAGCCACCTTCCCTGCCCTATTTTTTTTTATTTAAAGATTAGACACAGAAATTCTAGTTAATGATTGTGTTCATTTGTTTCTTCTGCTGTTGCTGTAAGTGGATAACCATAGTCGGAATAAAGAATGTGAGGGTCTCTGGATCATGGTTCTGGAACCTGAGAAGTGGAAGAGCATTGGTACCATGGCTGTCCACCATCTTCTACACCTTAACATGGTGGAGGTCATCACATGGTGACAAAGCAGTATTCACCAGCTCAGCTGGCCCAACCTCTTTTCACAAAGCCACCAGTCCCACCATGGGGGCATATCCAACCTTGTCTAGTTATTTTCCAAGACCCCACTTCAAATACCATATGAATTGGGAGATTAAGTTGAGAGGGGGACATTTAAATCATAGAAGTCATACTCCTCAATTCTTTTTTTTTGACCATAAAACAGAATTTTTTTAATTGTGAAAATACCGTACAGAGGGGATACAATTACATGATCACAGTAATGAGTACATTTCTTATCAAGCATTGTTGCCTCCTCCTTTGTATCCCCTTCCCATCCCTTCTCAGCTTCCCCCCCCCCACCCTGGCCAAAGTTGTAAAGTTCATTTTTCAACATAACATCTTGTACATCTCTTTGTTGCAATGGGTCCACCTGTATCCCTATTTAAACGATTTGTTTTTTCCCTTCCCCTCCACAAATTATACTGACATCAAATATAGTGAAAGCAGGGGTTATATTGTGGGGAAGGGACATACAAAACAACAAAGAAATCATCTTATAAATGTGTTAGAAACAATCGCAAGAAAGAAAAGACATTTGTCTTCCTCAGTCAGTGCAAGACACCTTTTCTTTTCTTTTTTTATTTTGTTTCCTCCTCTTCCCTAATTCCCACGCCTGCATTATGTTCAATATTTGCCTTTAAAGATGTGAGCATCCTTCATACAGTTTTGTTTCATATGCATAGTTATGCAAAGGGTGCCCCATTAAAATTCCACACTGTTATCTACTTTCCTGACTCCATATTGGCTTGGAAACCTAACTATGTTACACTGTTTGCATCTTGTCTTTTGCCTTCTCTGGCTGCCTAGTGTTCAATATGCTAAATCCAGTATATTTGTTTCCCCCCCCCCCCCCCGCCACCGCCCATCCCATTAGTGATAGAGCCACTAATCAATTCCCAGCCTTGGAGCAATACAGTGAACCTCTTTATACATGCCCTAGGGTCAAGATCTAAGAATGGATTCCTGTTCTGGAATGAATCAAAACCTTCTAAGGCAATGGACTCATGTGGGAACACTGGACTAGGTGTTCTGTTAGGAAAAATCGTTCTTTCCCCAGGATTAAAGCAACATGATTCAGCAGAATTCAAAGTCATAAAGATCTGGCAGGCTCTGACCCAGCCCAGAGACTTTCTGTCCTCTGAATAGCAAGAGGAGAAAACTAAGTTTAGCTTTCTGCCACCTGAGAGGCTCATAGAGGCTTGCATGATGGTGAAAGTTATGACCTATAGGAGTGAGTTATTATTCTGTCCCATCTCCCTTTGATAGGTTGTATCTTCTGACACCCATGAGAGACAAGAGGCCAAGGTGACTTCTCAGGGACCCCTTGAATATTCAGACTCTTGCTTTCCTATGTTTAAAAGATTCCCTAGCTGATTTAAATTCTTCCCAATGTATGTGGGTACAGCATAAATATGTACAATTTTTATTTGTTAATTACACCTCCAAACTCTGGGGAAACTTCCTAGTACATTTGCACACATGTGCTGAAGGTTGCTTTCTGTGTTTTGTTGTTTCACATGTGAAATCGAAAGAAAAACCAAGCTGCTAATACTAATTCTGTAGCTTATCCAAACTGTCCCTCAGAAGTCCTAAAAAGATGTTCTCTAGAACATAATGTTTCCTTTTCTCTTAGTTTCCTGCTCCCGAGGGCACACCAGAGACCTCCATCTGTGTACATGGACTTCTCTTCTGTCGACCACTGATTGCTCTCTCATCCTTCACCCCCAATGGCATGTTTAAGCCCCACTGCCCCTGCCATCAAGGTAGTTGTCTTCCCACTTTATATACCTGAGCAATTGCTTGAAAAATCTGTCCTTCAATGTAAATGGTCAACTATTTGAAGTTTTTAACTCTTAGAGAATAGGTCAACAATCTGTTGTTATGATATTATGCAAACTGTCTCTCCAACAAATGTTATTTACTGCTAGTTACTTATTTTGCTTATATTTGCATAGAATACCTTGATGAACAGACCTCAAGCTCGCTCAGTTTCATTAACATGTTTCTTTACCTCAGCTGACTGGGGAGACCAGTGTTCCAAGTCTTGATACCACCACACCAGAGTTCAAAACACTGGTGAAGAAACCATACTGACAAAATGTAATGCTTTTAAATATGTGTTATGGCTGTGTGATATCTGTGTTTTGTGAGAATTTATCTCATTCCATTCTCACAACATTAATTTTTTACAGGGAGTACAGTGAGTTTCTCAGAAGCAGACCCTGGATGAAGATTCATAAGCAAGTGGTTTCTGTAGTTAGTCCTTTGGGATGTGATCAACAAAGGTGGAGGAGACTAGGAAGGATAAGAAGCCAAGTAGGGAGAGGGAAGTTTGGGAAGTCTTACTCAACCCTGTCACACCATCACTGAGTTGGATTAGAATACAGTGAGAATCCAAGGGACCACGTGATCAGAGTCTGCTTTAAGAAGACATTAATATTCTGTTACTACTTTGAATACTGGAATCTAAGCCTAACTCCTATTTTTAATCAGAGCATTCTTTCAGCTTTCCAAATTGTAAGCAGCCTGGCTTGTTGAATCTTTTTTTTCTGGCTTTATTCAAACACTTGTGCAGAATAAAATAGTTTTATTGATCCATAGATCATCTTGCAATTTCCTGAGAAAAAGTAGAGAAAGTAAATATCTGAACTCATCCTGGTGAGGTGTCATTTCATTTTCTTTACAGGTTGAGCTGTTTCTGAGTGGTAGATATCTTAGTAATAGAGTAAATTATGTTTGTATGTGTGAAGGTTACCTGTATTGTAACTAGCTCTTTCCAAAAATGGAATTCACCTCTGTTTCAATGGGGATGTTCTTTGTGACTATGTAATTCCTAAAGCAGAAATGATGACATTCGTACCAGTTGGAATATAACACTTCTGTCTTAAAAAATACTTGGTGGAAGCAAAACCCTCAGATGACAGACATGAAAAACTGTTTCTATGTTATGTGCCAGATATGGTGGTATACTTCTATAATCCCAGCACTCAGGAGGAAGAGGGAGGACTATAAATTTGAGGCCAGCCTGGATTACATAGGGATTCGGTGTCTCAGAAATCCAAATAACAACAAAATAATGTCATGAGCCAAAAATCTACCCAGGAGATCAGATCCAGGTCTGAAGAAAATTCTAGATATCATTTTTCCTAAACAAGACTACCCAAAGGTCTCTTTGATTCTTACATCTGGAGAATATGTATCACTTTCCCCATCTCACTTCCTCCCTCCCAAGTCTGAGCTCTGCTTCTAAGCATCCATGTAGAAATTCCTTTTGACCAACATCACACCACATGTAAACAGATGATGCAAAGGAAGATGTTTTCTGACAAGGCAGGCAGAAAACACCCGTCATTTAAACATCACAGAAATTCAAACTCTATGACCTTAAATCCCTGGCACCAGAAAGATTTCAGCCACTATATTTTGCCAGGGGGTGGCTTCTTCAGTCCTGGAAATCTCTTCTACCAGCATGGAGCCAATTATCTACTTCTTATCTCAGGAAGCCTGGGGATCAGATGTTGACTCAGCCTTCCTCCTTCCCTGCCAAAGGCTTGATCTGAGAATCACCACAAACCATTTCAATTCATCCAGGACTTTTTGAACTTCTATGAGCTCAAAATAGTATGAGACTTCGTCTCTGGTTTTAGAGGGCATCTAGTATCTGGTTTTTATGCTCCCAAATAATGGCAAGACAATAAACCAAAATTAATATTATAGATCAACTATGGAAAAGTTTCCATCTCATCTGCTAATTCAAATCAGCAATGCCTGCTTGTGCTGATAGTGATTCCGAGTCACAGTCATATTCGAGGACAGATTCCTGAGTATTTGACATAGCTCTGGGAAAAAGGATTTAAAAGGACTAATAGGAAAATTATCTAGGTAGTGATCATTCATCCAGCAAATAGTCATTACACTGGAGCTGGGGATATAGTTCAGTGGTAGAAGTACTTGCCTAGTATACCCACGACCCTGGATTCCATCCCCAGCATTGTAAAGGAAGAAAAAAAGCATTAATATGTACTGGACACTTCTCTAAGTACCAACGTCCCTATGGAGTTTGCTTCCCATAGTGGGGGGCATGCAGTGAAAACCAACCACTATGTGTTTTTATCAGATAATCGTTATTATTTTAAAGGAGAGGATGGAATGATTGAAGATACCATCATAGACAAAGGTAGCCAGGGGTGTTCTTTCTAGGGAGGTGCTGTTTGAGTAGAGTCCTGAATTAAGTGACTCATTATTTGCAGAGGACATGGCAGAGGTAGTTATCCCCATTCCACCTCCTCTACGACTGGAAAGCCAGGGGTGACTCAATAGCTAGGGGCTGGAATCATTAGGAAATGTCTACACATACACGCATGCACACATGCATGTATGTGGCTCACACTGGCTAACACCTAGGCAGGGATGTTGACTAAAGTTCTCCCCAAATGAGTTAAACAAAGGAGTAAGGCAAGCAAAATACCCAGAGAAACAGCTTCCAAAGTTCCAGGGAAGAGCATGTGCAGGCACACAACAAGTGTAAAAGACAATTGTTAAGGGGATCTAATAGCCAGAGAGAGAGGGGTGAAGAAAGGAGGAAGATGGTCAAGAAAAATCACAGAAGACCCCATGCACAATAAGAATACAGACATTCTGACACAATGATGTTGTATTGTTTTTAGGATCTTTGGTATCTCTACTGAAAATAAGACTGTGGCTATTGCTGCTATTATTGTTATTTGTGAAGAACCAAAGACCATTAACTTCAGATGGCCCTCTACTAAGTAGATTTTGTGTGGACAGTAGGAGGATAAGGCTTTCAACAGGTTGCTTCCCATGTGGAGAGCCATTAAGAAAACATCCAAGCCTTATCCAAGCTGGCCCATAATCTTCAGACTGCTGAAGATTCTAAAGCATCCTTGACTGTCCCACTTGGAGAAGCAGCTGTCTGGATAGTGAGTCCTGAGTAAGATGTTGGGGCTTCAATTGACTAAATGTGAGTGGATCCAGGACTTGGGAAGAAAGGTCAGGTGGCAAGCTCTGGTAATAACACTTCATGTGGAAAACAATGTCAACTGATGAAGTAAGGCACTGGAACTTTACTTCCTTGCTCTCAGCTCAGACTCTACCTCAGGGGTTCCTTCCTTGTATGGACATAGAGCATTTCCCAAGGCTTCCTTCCTACTTTTCTTCTCCTCCTCCAATCAAAAGTTAGCTCTAGAAAACCATCAAATTTTTCATTTCCAAGCTACTGGGGCACATGCTATTTTGACCAAGTGACCTGGACACCCTTTTCCTTTGAAAGAGAACCTGAATTTGCACCTATTAGCTTCCTCAAATAACAAAATGCAGTGGAAGTGGCATCATATGACTTTTAAGGTTGCATCAAAACAATGCTATGCATTTCTACCTTCTCTCTGGGAACACTAACTTTTGGAACCCAGCTACCATGCTCTAAGAAAACTCAAATGAAGCCAGATACTGATGTCTCACACCTGTAATCCTAGCTATTCAGAAGTCTGAGATCTGAGGATCAAGTATAGTTGTGGCTCAAGTAATAGAATGCCACCCTTGAGTGAAAAGAAAAAAAAAAAAAAACAAGAGACAACAGCCAGTCCCTGAGTCCAAGCCCCACTGCCAGCACAAAAAGAAAACGAGAGGAAAAGAAAGAACAAAAACCTGAATGATCTCAGAGGAGACCACAGGGAAAGATATGGCAGAAGTGTTCCTATGAACAATTTTACTTAGCCAAAATCCAACATGGACCACCCCAAAATGTGACTGTAGATACAAGCAGATGACTTTTGCCTTTCTTTCTCTACTGGCTACAAACCTTCCCTCAGAAGGCCCAAAATATTGAGGAATGTCCCAACCTGGCCCTGCTGTGTTCTCTCCAGATTTTTGACTCACAGAATCTGTGAACATAATAAAATGGTTCTTATATTCTACTAAGAATTGGGGTGGACTGTAATCCAGCAGTAATAACTAGGACAGGTGCTAATGACCAATGGTTTTAAAATATCTCCCTTTTTATGTAATAATGATGAGAGGCAGTAGGGTTGGTATGAAAACTTTAGGAATCAGGCTTGGGTTCAAATCCAAATCACTTAAGAACAGGGTAACGGGGTAAATGATAATCTCTAACTCTTGGTTTCTTCATCTATCAAATGGTATTGAAGGGATGTAGATGGACAAAGGTTAGTCCAAGGTCTGTCCTAAGGATCACAAAGCTTCAAGCAGTGGTCTTCTTCCTCCTTGGATGTTCCAATCCACTGGCCTCGGTTTCTGTCAGAAACCATCTTCTTGTCTAAAACCATCTTCTCCAAGGAGGTCCAAAGCACTCATGCAAGAAATGAGAAGCAGCTACCTCTGCTCAGAGATAGAATCTGAGTCTTGACATTCTCTCATGACCCCCACCAGTGTTGCTTGTCTATGTCACAATCAGAACAAGAAGCAGCAACTTGGCCTCCCACATATCTTCTTCTCTGTAAACAGTTTTTTGATAGCCTCTTGGTAAGCTCATTGTTCCACTTTTTTTTTGTCAGCCATAGGGCTTGAAATTTGGGGCCTGGTCACTATCCCTGAGCTCTTTTGCTCAAGGCTAGTATTCTATCTCTTAGAACCTTAGGGTAACTTCCTGTTTTTTGGTGGTTAATTGGAGAGAGGGGTCTCAAGAATTTTCCTGCCAGGCTGGCTTTGAACCGTAATCCTCAGATCTCAGTTTCCTGAGTAACTAGGATTACAGATGTGAGCCACCAGCACTCATTGTTGTACTTTTAAGCCAGTCTTGTGGACTGGCTGCCACCTCAGCTACTCTCTAGAGATTCTATTTTTCCTGATTCTAATGTGGACAAAGGTGGGTATGCAGAGGATGCTGTAGAGAAAAAGGATAGGGGCACTTAGTAGAGAGCCCTATTTCAGTGGTGAATACCATAGGTAATGTTGAAGAGAAAGAAGTTCTCCTTTTTCCCAGGGCAATCTTTCCTAAAGCAGGCAGACTATTTCTTTTTATTGAAATCACTAACTTTTTTTAATTTAAGAAATCACTAACTCGGGCTGGGAAGGTGGCTCAGTGGTAGAGCACTTGCCTTGCATGCTCGAGGCCCTGGGTTTGATTCCTCAACACCACATAAGAAAAAAGCCGGAAGTGGTGCTGAGGCTCAAGTGGTAGAGTGCTAGCCTTGAGCTGAAGAGCTGAAGGACAACGCCAGGCCCAGAGTTCAGGCCCCACAACCGGACCCAAAATAACCAAAAAATCACTAACTCTTAGGCATCTGGCACTACTATAAATTTTCAGATGCTTGACTCTTGGCTTTTATGAGAGAGGAAGTAAAGTCTCCTGTATCTTCTTATAAAAGAGTTGCACCCATCATTCAGACTCCATCCTCATAACCTAATTACCTCCCAAAGATCCCATGTCCAAATATTATTCACACTGGAGACTAGTTGAGAGGACACAAACATAGCTCCTAAGGACACAACTTTCCAAATTGGTGCAGAACTAGGGTGACTTCAACTCCAAAGTCCCTCTCTCAGCCCACTCTTCTTCATCTGAGCATCAGATGAATGATTGGTGGCAGCACTGGACCAAGTTTTTCCATTCTGATTTCTCTATCTTGAAGTACTACAGGGCCATGAATCTTTAGGTCAAGGCTTCAACAGGAAATTTCAGGCTCCCATTCTCTTGTGGGCCTTCACCTCTCTACTAGCAAGAGAGATGTGAGCCATCTTCTGCCCATCTCTGAGCCAGCTCTGAAGGCAGGGGCTCAGATCTGAGTTTGAGCAGCAGCAAAAGGCCCTCATTTAGTCCCTGGCCTCAGCCAAGGCTTCCCATTCCACCAATGAATCCTGGAAATCAGGATTGTTGGGCACTCGACAACACATAGAACTGAAACCTTGACCCTATTTTGGCTGCTTCTGTTATGTTTTCCACCAATTAGGATCTGAAAAGACCAACTAGACAATTCCTCAAGCATAAAGCAACTTTTGTTTTTTACTCACTGAGCCTGACTGTCCTCACAACAACCCTCTTAGTGTTATAAGTGCACAAGGTAGGACTGGAAACCCAGCTATTTGAAATCTAAAATTGGCTCTTTTATGAAGCTTCTCATTCAAGAAAACAGATGCTAAATATTTTACTAAGTTTGCACCAGAAGTATTGGAGCAGGATTTGTACTCATTTCAGGACTCATCCAACACCTCATTTACACTCTGCATCTATTTGTCAAAACCTTGATGGCCATAAAATGTACGTGACTTATTGCAGGACACAGAGAATTCTACTGGGGTTATTGAGTCCAAGGTTGGTTTCTATGCCTTACATCATGTCCCTTACCCTTAGGTATGTCAGATTGCTATTCACCCTAATCCCCTCTGATTATGCAGAACCCTTCTGTTCCCTGCTTGTATCTGTATCTGCACACTGTCTCTCTCATCAACAAAGCCTTCTTATCACTATGTACACTGAACTTCAGCATCAAGTTTCAGGTTCCTTTAAGTAAAATGTGCATCACATTTCCACTTCACTGATTGGCTAAAGTTTACCTTGGAATGGGATTCTGGAGTTGTCCAAAGTTCACTGGTGTAATCTGCGGTTACAGGACAGTAGATGACTGCTGAGTCTGGTCTGTGTGGGCTCTGGGGCCTCATTTCGCTATCTGAAGAGAGAAACAGAGACAGAGATAGACAAAAACAGAGAGAGAGAGAGAGAGAGGCCAGTTGATGGTAGGTGCCTCCTTACTAACCCCTATTCAGGAAACAGCACTTTAGGAGCAATTACCATAGCAAGAGATGCAGAAATTGAAGAGAAGATCCTGGAAACCCACCTCTAGATTTTTAGGAGGCATAAGTGAAATCCAGTAGGAAATCCTAGGTCATAGAAAGGAGCAAGTGGGGCACAGAACACACTGGAAACTTAGAGGAAGGCATCACAAGAAGAAGGCAAGTTCAGGGGTAAAGAGACCTGCACTGAGAAATGACTGGAGAATTTACAAACACTGTTCACTGTCTCCTGTGCCCCCCAATGACTTCTTCCCACATGCAACATGATTTCTCTAAGTCTTCCTCACAACAGGCCTCCGAGTTTTCACCTATGACACTGTGACATAGGAGAATTGGGAGAATTGTGATCAACTTTATAGACTTGGGGATGATGAATTAAGACTGGAGGTGAAATTTCAATCAGTAAATTCCACAGAGCCACAAGAGAGAATACAGAATCTAGAGCTCCTAGCAATAAGAGTTCCATTACAAAGATTCTGTTGGCATGCAATCGGGGAAGGAAACAGATAGAGGTGACCAAGTCTCACTTCTCTCAGAACTGGATTCCATTGGATTACAGTCATGGTGTAGGTTGTGGGGTGACAGAGTTAGCAGATTCACCCCATCACTGTCTGCTGTATATTTGTCTTTTCCAAATAAAACATAATGGATTAGTTTACTGTCGTGGAGTACAAAGCACCTCTCTTAGTTTGGGCCAACTGCTTTCACCCAAGGACATGTACTTTTTGGTTCATATGACTGACCCCAGCTCCTAACACAATTGCCAATAAAACAAGTGGCTTCATGGTCAATGACAAAGTCTTTTATATGAATTATGAGTGCCAAAGCAGCATAGCAAAAACAAAGCAGGTAGGTCCACTTTTATCATCCATCTCTTCCTACCTTATCTACCTTAGTTCTTTTATCAGACTGTGGTCTAGGCCAGAAGAGAATTCCTCTACCTTTTGGGGAAATCTATTACCCAAGCCTGCCTCTGAGCAGCAAGCTTCTCAGTAGGATTCCAAGACCTAGAGTATGACTTGGGAAGGAGAGCAGAGGTAGAAGAGCCTAACGATAGTCCAATCACAGCCCACTGAACAGGGTGGTTGTCATCAAGGCCATATGGTTGAGAGTTATTTAACTGAAGCAGTTGTCACTCTCTGGCCTAGCAGCTGCCTTGAAGTGTGCTATGTTGACCATTTGCTTTTTAAGCCTGCCCTGCTGCAGCCAAAAAGAAGGTCCAGTCACAGCCCTGGGAGTCTTTGTTCCTTTCCTTAGAATCCATTGGGAATTATGTAATGACAGGACATGATAGCTTTGACTCTTCTGGAAAAACCATTATGAGTTATGCTCTCTAACCTTTCTTCAAAGCACCAAGGGTATAGTAACTCCACCAAGATGTTTCAGCATTAGACTCACCCAAGGAAATTTTGAAAATTACAGATGTTTCTAAGTCATCATTACTGAAGAAAGGGACAACCAACCTTCTATATATTTTAAAGCTCTCTGTGAAATTCTGTTGAGCCAGATACACTTACACTTAACTTAGAGGGAGGTATCTACCTGCAAAAATCTTATACCCATAGGAAAGTCCATCCTGAAATTGTGAGTTTGCCTAGAATCAGAAAAGCATTGTACTGTGGTGTGTGTGTGTGTGTGTGTGTGTGTGTGTGTGTGTGTGTGTGTGTGTGTGTTGTAAGATAGGTAGGTGAAGAAGTACTAGGAGAATTTTTACTTCCCTTTCCCACACTACTCTAAGAATTTTGGTCTGATCTCTTACAGAAAAAAAAATGATACAAATAGAAACCAAGCAACTGGTTTTGTAATGATTTCTAGTCACAAACAGGAGGCCCCTGAATGACAGGCACAAAAGAGAAATTCCTTCTTAGTGGCGTGTCATAGCTGTTGCTCTCAATAGATGCATTGAGAGCACTAATTATTAAATTTTCAGAAAATTTTCAAGTCAATGAACATCAAGTTGATACCTTGAAATCAGTCATGATGGGAGTATTTACACCATAAGGATTAGAAACACTCCAAATCAGAGCTTTCTCTCTTCCCCTTGGACAGTAATTTCTAAATGTTTCTCACAGCCCAACTGCCTTCCTGACCTTCTTTGGGGGAAATAGTCTATTTAAATATATAAAGCATTTGACCATCAGCCATCCAGTCTTGATGACCAGAGAAGTGAGGTGTATTCCTCAAGCAGCCTGAAGACAGGTGTCATCAACAAGCAGGATAACTCAACATAAGAGGATGGATTAGCGTTTCAATGTAACAACTGGGGACCCTAAAAAATAACCTGGGCTGTATCTACAGCTGGAACAAGCCAGTCAAAAATGCACGTAAAGGCTAATGGGGTGTTCTTTAAACCCCCTAAGCCAGGGAGACTTGGAGATGGTCCAATCTATTTAAATGTGGCTGGCTCTCCAAAGGAACTGATCATCAGAATTTCATGGATAACTACCCTTTTATCTACTTACTCTTATTTTTGGAAAATTTGCAATTTCTGAGGTCTCTAGGCAAATGCAGTGCTGAATAGCCTCCTTCTCTGGACATCCTAACCCATCTCTACATGGCCTCTTCTTAAATAATTTTGAAGTTAGACAGCTCCCTGCTCTCCATACCAAACCATGCTATGTTTTGGAAGCTTCAGGTTGTCAAAAAGCTGTTTCTTACATTAAACAAGAGTGCTTCTCATTTCCCTGAGACCCCATTTGTTTACTGGGATCCTCTCCAGTAGAAGCCAGATGTGGAGACTCCACCATTTCTATGGAGTGAGCAGCACCCCCTGCCGTGTGCAAGAGCACTGTCCTCGGAGCCACCTCCAGGGCCTCTGCCCTGTCTGGAATCCCATGGAGGAGCAGCTTTCCCAGGGTGTATTTGTGTTATTGAATGTTTCACTCTGAAGAGCTCTGATAACAAAACTGCACTCCCGCCACACCATGTTGTTCTCTCCCCAGTCATTGAGTGTGATCTCCATTATTCATGACCTCTTCCAATTTCCTTAATGCCACAAGCTTTGTTGCCAGAGGTGCAAAATTGATTTTGTAAAATGGTTTACACACATTTTGAAGTGGTCTTGTTTACTTAACTGAAAGGCTTCTAACTTGGTCTGGGCATCAGACTGGGCCAGGAGGGGCAGGGCATTGAGTTTCTAGGCCACATTGCCTTGGAAACCATGAAGCTGTGAGATGAAGCTCAAGATGATCCCAGGTACACAGAGACCTTCTCCCTCAGGTGCTCCCACAGTATTCTCCCACACTGGATAAGTGCCACTGCAAAAGTGACTGCTAACGTCCACTCTGGCCAGTTTCCAGCCATAGGATTTCTCAAGAAATATTGTGACAATGGATTCCATTGAGGGTCCTAAGTGTTCAGAGTGGGAAGATCAGTTGGGCTCTATTTTCTGGGAAAGAGACAATGCAAGATGTGGTACCAGATGCACAGAAGTTTACACACCAACCATGCTGCTGCAACAGGACCCCAGCCTCTGCATTCTCATTTGGAAAATGGGCTGGTGTGCAGCATTAAATGATATAAACCATGGGAGAATCTACAACAAGGCACAAAGAAATATTTAGTAACCTTCATCCTCTAAGTACCAAGGGCTTCTTGATGATCTCTTCTGAGAATTGAAAAGATTTTTTTTTCAATTTATGTGGGAAAGTAAATTAGGGGAGGCATATTTTCACAAAATGAAGGGCAAAATATCCCATGAAACTAGGAAAACTGAGGGGAAGGGTTTGGTTGGGAAACCGCAGGGGAAATAATGAAAAGAATGATAAACTAACATGTTAAATGGTAAACCTTTTGTACAACTACATAAAGATAATTAAAAAACCTCACATAACCCAAATTGTACCATCTTAACCCTTTTATTTGTGTGTGTGCACAGTATAGGGGCTTGAACTTGGCCTGGGTATTGTCCCTTAACTTTATCATTCAAGGCTTACACCCAACCCCTTGAGCCACAACTCCACTTCCAGCTTTTATTCGTTCATTAGAGATAAAAGTCTCACAGACTTTCCTATCCAGACTGGCTTCTAACCTCAAACCTCAGATCTCAGCCTCCTAAATAACTAGGGTTACAGGCATGAGCCACCAGATCCCAGCTCTTAACCTTTTTTTTTTAAGTGTATAATTCATTAGAGTTTCTGTGGTTGTGCAATCAATCTCCAAAACTCTTTTCATCTTACAAAAGGAAAACTATGTACCCATTAAACAACTCCCATTCCTGCCCCCTCCTCCCCGCCACCAGATCCTGGCAACCACCATCTACTTTCTGTTCTATGAGTGAAACCCCTTCATAGCATAAGTAAAACCATGCATGTTTGCTTGATTGAGGTTGGTTTATTTTTGAATGCTTATTTCACTCAGACTTATGTCCTTCAGGCTCATCTATGTTATAGCATGTATCAGAATTTGCTTTCTTTTAAAACTGAATATTTGTGTGTCAGAGAGCGAGAGATTTTGCTTATCTATTAATCTGTTGATGATGGCTATCTGTTGGTAGATTTTGGCTATTGTGAATAATACTACTATTAACATATTTCCTTTAAAAAATGAAGGGCAAAGAAACACACAACAGATTGCACAATACCCTTAACACAACTACTGATACTGTGGAACTCACTGAACCCTTCTCCACATTAGCTGAGCTGTGTGACATACAAGCAAAAATTTAAATTTATTTTGTTTTTGAATTTTCTTTTGATATTTATTATTTCCTCCTTTATTTATTTTTGGCCAAAACATTATGTGACAAATCTGTGAATAAGGTAGGCTTCTTGTGTTTTATACATCACTTTCAAATATGGGGAAACTGAGGTAGAAAAATATTACATAGCTAATTCAAGATCAAGACAACTAGTAAGTGATAGCTTTGGATTTGAAC